TCCAGCTGTGCAGCAGCAGTTCCAGCTGTGCAGCAGCAGTTCCAGCTGTGCAGCAGCAGTTCCAGCTGTGTATCAGCAGTTCCAGCTGTGCAGCAACAGTAGCTCCAGCTGTGTATCAGCAGCTCCAGCTGTGCTGCAGCAGCAACTCCAGCTGTGCTGCAGTTCCAGCTGTGCTGCAGCAGCTCCAGCTGTGTCTCAGCAGTTCCAGCTGTGCTGCAGCAGCTCCAGCTGTTCCATGGGATGGGCTGAGGCAGGAACAGCTGGCGTTCCCTGCGCCCCTGGCACAGCTCTGGCCTCTGCAGGGATCCTCACACCCAAAATAAAAGGGAGGCAGCAAAATGTCCGGCTCCAAACGGCCCTGAAAGCGCCAGGATTGGTGTTAATTAGATCCACGCCAATTAAAAGCCGCTGTGGGGCTGTTTGGTGCCGCTGGGGGTTCTCGTTTTCAGCGGGAACGCGGCAGGATAACGGGGTTTGGTGAGGGTGGGTGGCACGGGGGGCTCAGCATGTCCTGCACAGGGCCCTCGGACAGGGATTTCTGCAGGAATCATCCCTGGATGAGCGGGAATGTTCTGGGGAGCGCCGCCAGCAGCCCCTAAACGCCGCTCCCGCTGCTCCAGCCGCACTCCAGGCCTTTGTTTACAGCCCCTTCCTGCAGATGGGCCACGTGAGGATGGAGAATTCCCAGATCCCAGAGCTCTGTGGTGTCCCTGGCCGTGATCCTCATCCCTGAGGGGCTCTGGAAGGGGCTCTGGAAGGGGCTGCCCTGCGCCCACTTGGCCTGAGGCTCTGGAATTCTGGATCAGGGAATCCAGCTGATGTTGGAGTGGTGATGTTCATGTATCCCAAGAGCTCCCAATCCCGCAGTGTTTCATGGTCTGGTGCTTGGAGTTGGGATAAATTCCACTGATATTTTTATTTTCACTGTCTGAACACTGAGTCTCCTTTCCTCCTTTCCTCTGGAGCTGCCCATCACCTTCCCCTCCTGTTTCACAGATCCCTTCTTCCAGACTTTTCCTGGTTCTGGAAGCGCTCAGGGCCAGCCTGGGCTCGTTCCTGGTGGCACTTGGGGAAAAGTCCAGGCTGGGGGTGTTTGTGTAGGGATAACTCGATGGAAAAGCCGCTGGAGAGGCTTTTCCTGGGAGCAAAAGGAGGGACCCAGGCAATCCTGGAGTGATTTGGCTTTCCTAGCCCAAATTACCAGTCAAGACCTCCTCTATGATTTACTTCCAGTTGATGCTTCATTCTGCAAAGGAAATAAACCCCGAAAGGCAATTCCTCACTGAACTTGGGTTTGCTTTTTTTTGTCTCCTGTTTTCCAGACTTCATTTTACGGCAGATTCAGGCACTTCCTGGACATCATCGACCCCCGCACCCTCTTTGTGACCGAGGTAACGCTCAGCTCTGTTTTGGGAGGCTCTTACAGCTGGAGATGAGAAGCAGAAGTGTTTCCACAGGGTTTGTGGCTCACGGGTGTGAAAAACCAAGTTCAGTCTCCTGTAAAATTTTAAAAAGGTTTAATAAGGGCAATAAGAGACATAAAATAAAGCAAAGAGTTATGGCCGGGTGCCTCTGGCACGTTGCCAGGATATCTTTGATATCTTTGATATTGACACACCTGATATCTTTGGAACACCCTTTTTATCCCCTCCTGCTGTGAGGGTTTAATGCAGATTCAAACTTTTCTAAGAAGCATTTTGCATGGTTACGCCCTGAACTCGCCTCTTCAGAGCATGGGTTTTATTTTTGCTGATCATTTTATTGGAATTTGATTTCCTTTCTTTGCAAGTGGTCAGTGCTGATAACAGCCTGGGTTCCACTGTCCTTTCACTGATAACAGCCTGGGTTCCACTGTCCTTTCACTGATAACAGCCTGGGTTCCACTGTCCTTTCACTGATAACAGCCTGGGTTCCACTGTCCTTTCACTGATAACAGCCTGGGTTCCACTGTCCTTTCACTGATAACAGCCTGGGTTCCACTGTCCTTTCACTGATAACAGCCTGGGTTCCACTGTCCTTTCACTGATAACAGCCTGGGTTCCACTGTCCTTTCACTGATAACAGCCTGGGTTCCACTGTCCTTTCACTGATAACAGCCTGGGTTCCACTGTCCTTTCACTGATAACAGCCTGGGTTCCACTGTCCTTTCACTGATAACAGCCTGGGTTCCACTGTCCTTTCACTGATAACAGCCTGGGTTCCACTGTCCTTTCACTGATAACAGCCTGGGTTCCACTGTCCTTTCACTGATAACAGCCTGGGTTCCACTGTCCTTTCACTGATAACAGCCTGGGTTCCACTGTCCTTTCACTGATAACAGCCTGGGTTCCACTGTCCTTTCACTGATAACAGCCTGGGTTCCACTGTCCTTTCACTGATAACAGCCTGGGTTCCACTGTCCTTTCACTGATAACAGCCTGGGTTCCACTGTCCTTTCACTGATAACAGCCTGGGTTCCACTGTCCTTTCACTGATAACAGCCTGGGTTCCACTGTCCTTTCACTGATAACAGCCTGGGTTCCACTGTCCTTTCACTGATAACAGCCTGGGTTCCACTGTCCTTTCACTGATAACAGCCTGGGTTCCACTGTCCTTTCACTGATAACAGCCTGGGTTCCACTGTCCTTTCACTGATAACAGCCTGGGTTCCACTGTCCTTTCACTGATAACAGCCTGGGTTCCATTCCACGTGGTCAGGGGGAGGAGGGAGAGACGGCAGAGCAGGAGAGGAGAGGTTGGAAAGGGGAGGGAGGGAGTAAGAGAAACAGAGGGAAAGAGGGAAAAACCAGAGGGAGAGAGCAGGGAGGACGAGAGGGGTAGGAGCAGGGAGAGGGGGCTGAGAGTTAAGCGTGGGGGAGAGGGGTAAAGGGGTAAGAGGTGAGGGAGAGGGGTTCAGAGGTAGGAGAGAAAAGTTAAGAGAGCGAAGTTCTTGTTACAATCCAATATATCTTTTTCTATGGTGAATATTCTAATTCCCAGTAACCAATCACCATGAGACACACCCACTAAAGAATTTACATCCAGCCTATGTGCTTCCCTATATTAACATATATTAACAGTGTTGCATTTTAGATTCCACAAAACTTTACAAGTTCTTTCCTTGCTTCTTGACCTTTGGGCTTTCCATCAGCAGAAGGACATTGTTTTATCAGCAGGGATTCTCCTCTAGCTGGCTAGGCTATTGTTCTTTGGTTAACCAGTACTCAGTATCCTATGATTCTTTCTTTTCTTTCATTTCTACTTTGATTCTAGCCTTCATATTTTCAGAATCTTCTGACAAACAATCACATTCATAAGGTTTTCCTGTTTCACCCTCCCCAACAGGTCTCCGTGTCCTTCCACTGATAACAGCCTGGGCCCCACTGTCTTTGCCCTCTGGGGTTTCTTTGCTTTGTACCACCAAATTCCTTTAAGCTTAAAACTTGTTAGCAAGAGAGAAAGTACAGACACAACCAAAAAGTATTTAACGTATAATATTCATCCTAATACTTGTGAAATGTCGCAATAGGGATTTATAACACGGGGGATGGATTGAGTGGCTCAAACCTGGCTGGCACCAGCGAGCCCCAGCCCCCTGAGCCAGCTTTTGGCCAAAGTTCTGCTGGTTTTCCTCCTCAGGAGGAAAATTCCTGCAGGTTTTCATGGCCAAACCGCAGGTGAGGGGATGAGAGAGCAGCTTTGATTTGGAGGAGCGAAGGGGACGGGTTTGGTGCCGTTCTGCAGAGCTCTGCTGCGGTTTTCCCTCCGTTTGGAGCAGGGTTTGGGGGTCCTGCCCTGTCTCCATGACTCTCCTGGTTGGCTTTTTACTCCCCTTGAACTGAAGTTGATGAGAGGGAGGCAGTTTTTTCTCTCTTGTTCTTGCTTGTTTATTCTTATCAGCATTACATGGATACAAGGAGCTGTGTGCACTAAGATAGAAAGGTGAAAAACGGCCAACAAAGATCTTCCTCAAGGTCTTTTATATCTTCATTTACCCAATTAACTGATGCCAAGTAAATTATTTTCCTTAATGACCCAATGACCCCACACCTGAGTGCTGCACTGAGGCATTTTCTGTCCAATCACTGCTGCCCAAAAACCTCTGGAGGGAGAAGATGAAGAAGAAAGAATGAAAAGAGACAACACCCTAAATCCTCCATCTTGTCTCTTGTTCTCTAAACTGGTTTAAACTCCAAACTTTAACTTTTTCACCCAGTGACTTAAGAAAAGTCTCTAATTTACACATTTACACTCCTGGTTTTTCTATTTAACAGTCATTTTCAGGGTGTCATATGAGGTTCAGTGCTTTGTTGGATGTCAGAGCCAGGTATCAGAGATAAGGGCACACTCTCTGTGCCTCTGACTCCAACTCTGCCCCTTTATTTCCATTTTTTCTTGTCCAGCTTTGCCTCAGCTCTTTGATTCCATCAGCTGAGGACTGAGGGTGGTGGGGAACCCTTGGGAAGGAAAAGTTCTGCTCCTGCTCTGGAATTCTGTGGATTTTCAGTGAAGGACAGCTGCTTTTTCCTTTTTATTTTATTTTTTTTTTCCAATTAAAAAAAAATAATACTTTTTATTATTAGGGAATAAAAAGAACAAATTCTGATGTTTTACCCAGTTTTATCCTGGGTCAGAATTGAGCAGTTTTGGGTTCTGGAGGAACCTCAACAAGTCAGGGAGGTTTGGTGTCCATCTCTGGGGCTGGGAAAGGACAGGGCTGAACTTTGGGGTGTTCAGGAATGGCTTGGGGGCTTTCCAGGGAGGGCAGTGCCCTCTGTCATCTCCTCTGGGAGCGTGAATTCCGTGGCAGGGATGCCTCAGGACACCTGCAGCATCTCTGCTGATGTCCCCTTCCCTGGAGAGTAAAATAACCTCCTGGGCCACTTCTTGGGGCACAAAATCTGTTTGTTTATTTTTTTTTACAATGGCTGGGCCGTGCAGACGGAGAACTCGGGGTTTTTTTTGCTTTCCCTCGATGGCTGAGGGGGCAAATGGGAGCTCAGGAAGGGTTTGCTGAGCCCAGGGGTGTGCAGGGAGCTGACAGATGGCTTCATCTCCCAGCCCCAGGGCTCCCAGGAACAAACAAATCCCTGCTTGGCTTGGAGGAGCTCGTTGGCAAACGGGAAAAAACGAGTAGATGAATGAGTGTCTAATGGGAATGGAGGTTAATCCCGTGGAAAATGCAGGGAAATGTGGGGATATTTCATTTTTCTCCATCGTTTTTTGGATGGCTGTGTGCTCCATCACCGCAGCCTGCTGGTGTTTTGAGGAGGGATGAGGGATCTCTCCCAGTGGGGAGCTGAGAGGATGATCAGTCATAGTGACACTCATCCTTTGGGTGTTTATTTTCCAATGAAACAGATTCCTGACCCCATCAGGAACTTCCTCGTGTTTCAGAGGTTCTGGAGGAGGGAACCCTCGGGGGGTGGCCCCGGGTTCTGCCCTAGCTGTGCTCTGATGTCCTGCCATCTCCTGGGGCAGAGGGGCTGGAGCCCAGCCCCGGCCTCAGGAACCTCGGGGCTGCTCGTCCACCTCATTCCTGGCAATGAAATCCTCTCTTGGCAGCTGCAAATCCTCCAGCAAGTGGGAAATTGGCATTGCAGGGTCACCAGTCCCGAGATGTCCCCGGGGTCAGGGCCCGGCGTGGGGACGTGTCAGGCTGAAATGATTGGAATCATAGTTTTAATTGCTCTGTAATTAAGGTCCGTGGGGGCCAGCGGGTGTTTTGATAACTCATCCCCCCCGGGCTCGCTGTTATCACCCAGCTGCTCCTGCAGGAAGGGCTGGCAGTGAGTGCAGGTGGAAGCAGAAGTGGGGCGAGCTCCGAGGGGCTGCCTGCTCTCTGTGCCTCGTCTCATTGTTCAGAGCCTGGAGCTGCAGAGCATCTTGCATTCCCATATTTGGCTTTAAAATGGAAGCAGGATTAGATGTATGTTATTTATACGAACGATACCTTCTTACTCAGCAGATTGACTGTCTGTGTTTATTCAGTGTCACATCTGCTGGCTCCACTCGAACAAAAAGTTTCTGGCTCCTGTTGTCTGTCACTGTGGATCCAATACAATGGGGCCAGCTGGAGTCAAGTCTGCCGTGTGTGTCATCCCTGGGAGCAGGGACACGGGGAGCAGGCTGGGCTGTGCCTGCAGCCAGGGCACAGCTGGATCTGCTCGGCCACGGGGAGCTGGAGCTGCTGCTGCTGCTGGCCACGGGATCCTGGGCTGGGACACGTCCCCAGGTCCTGGCTGGGCTGGGACACGTCCCCAGGTCCTGGCTGGGCTGGGACATCTCCCCCAGGTCCTGGCTGGGCTGGGACACATCCCCCAGGTCCTGGCTGGGCTGGGACACATCCCCCGGGTCCTGGCGGGGCTGGGCCAGCC